AGCTTCCGCCCCGCCCACAGGACCGCCCACACGCCAGCCGTTGCTCCCGCCTACACGCCCGACGGCCGCAGCTCCCGCCCACACGGCCGCATGCACGATGGAAGCGGAATATCATACACCGGCAACAGCACGCCGCCTTCCGGGACCTCGTCCAGTCCTCCCCCAGCCAGGTAAGACATCCCCTGAAAATAAGACAGTGTCTTTTTTCGTGCAAAAAAATAAAAAATAAGACAGTGTCTTATTTTCGGGGAAACACGGTAGCTTCACGTGGATCGAGAGCTGGAAAAGCACACTGGACCACTTGCCTTGCGCTTATTAATTGCCATACTGTGTATGCACAAGGAGGAAACACCAAATGGGTACCCACCAACCACTGCCAATGCAGGAGGGGTTAAATTTCTGCCTGTGACCAGGTTACTGTAAGGCAGCAGCAAGGAGGGTATATCCCCAGACCTTGTAAGGAGCTGTCTGGGATCTTGCAGGCAGAGCACAGGAAATGCAGCGTGGTGCACCCAGACAATTGCATGTATTGCAGATAGTTCACATGGTACACAAAGTGTCTGGAAGAGTGCCCCAGCAGAGGACAACGACCGCATGTTACATTACAGCCTGGCCCTTCTTCCTCACAGCAGGGTCCTGATATGGCAATAAGTCGATCCGGATCTCTGAATCCGTGCTGACACTGTCCTTCCTTCTGGAGGGTGGCTACTCTTGTTCCCCATGGTCCCTGTGTGTGTTGTTCCCCATGGTCCCTGTGTGTGTTGTAAAGTAGCCACCACTCCAATGAGCTTGGAGCGCTGGCTACTTTACAACACACAGGGATCATGGGGAATAAAAGTAGTCACCCTCCAGAAGGAAGTGCAGTGTCAGTATAAATTCAGAGATGGAGGATCTACAGCCGAGTGATACACATATAAGAAACATTTTTGTTCATAGTAAAAAAGGTACTTCAATGTATTTTTAAGAGCTAACTCCTGAGTTTAGTGTCACTTTAATTATGAAGGCGGCCTCTGATGGGGACAGCCGATGTAAGCGGGCACTCTGATGGGGACAGCTAATTATTAGTTGCCCCTATTGGAGTTCCCCCTTACATTCATACCAGATGCCTTAGACCTGCCCTGGCCACTTTTTACAGCGCAGCCCCGACACTAGACAAGGCAATTTGTCCCACCACCCACCACCCACCACCACCACCACCACCACCACCACCACCACCACCACCATGTTGTGTTTCTTAAAAAAAACAAACCAACGTACTGTATGCAGGCCGCAACTGCATCACACTGCGCTATCCACATAGAACATAATGAAATGTCACTCATGACATTTCAATAAAGTCCTAACAAAAAAAGAAAAATAAACAGTGCGATGCGCCTGGGAACAGAGACCAGCAGCTGTGTGTTGTAGTGCAGGTGTGCATGCAGCCTAAATGGCAGATCACGGTGCAGACTCGGACCAAGTGACTGTTCCGTCTGGACCTGCATTTCAGGCCTTGGCTTGAAGGACATTTTTCTCACCGGATCTCCTTGAATTTTAATTCACTACCCCTGTTATAGTGTATAAATTCAGGCCCTGGGCTCTAGGAAAACAAGACTTGTACAGTAGAAAACAGCAGGTTGAACCTGGCCCATGGTTTTCTGCAGCATAGACACAAAGCATATGTAGTCTGGGGGCTTCAGCAGCCATTCTGATGTGTGGCACTTGTGGTATGTCCTTCTGCCTTTAATGAGGTTGGGCTACCTCCTGGTGAATCTGCACCCAATTCACCCTTTGCTGTATATGCCCCAAGATGGAGGCTCTCATAGATTACAGTTAGGACCAAACTACACAGAGGTGCCTTCACCTTTTTAGACAGTGTAATTTATTTTATTACATTTGATGAACAAGAGTGATTTGTGTAAGGTGTTCACTCACCTGTGCAGCCTCTGATATCCCAACCTGAAACCAACATATACATACACACATACGCCTGAGGACAACTGTGATATACATGATACAGACCTGAGGTGTGCCATGGTCCGGGGGGACAGTAATGCCAATAAGGGGGCATACTCCGTGTATAGAATGAATCTGAGTATGTGTGCGAGAGGGAAGGTTCAGACGAAAAGTGCACGTCCCTGTTGCCTCGGCCTGCCCTCTTGTACGTGGTGGCTATATATGCTATGTTACTGGGATTGGCAGTCGTATGTCGGGACCGGAACATGCTAAACGCATTCCAAGCTACTTTGTAGGCTTTGCCCGTGTTGGCGGCAAGGGAATCGTCAATAAGTTTGGCAGCATCACGGTGATACCTCTCTAATCCAATACTAACAGCTGGTAATCCGGCACCGGTGTGGGAACCACATCCGCATCTGGTGTCAGTAGGAAAAAATCCTGAAATTGTAACCGAGTACGCCGTTGCGTGCCCGCGGTACCTTCTCTGCTGACAATGTGCCGGAAATGACGAAACGCTGACCCGGAAATGATGAAGAAACCCGCAGCCGGACTCTGGAGAATGACGTGACGAAGTTGAGACGAAAAGCGCACGTCCCTGTTGCCTCGGCCTGCCCTCTTTTGTACGTGGTGGGCGCGTGAACCCCTCCCACAAATCCCGGCTAACAAGTTAGCCATCCCACTTATCATATTTTCGTTCAGTCCGTTATCTTTAGTATTGCTTATGCCAGAAAAATAACATTTCTAAAACATCACTGTTTAAAACAAGATATCCTAAATGGAAGATATATTTGTTTTATTTTTTAAGGCTATTTGCTTTAAGGACTTGCCGATCTTCCTTTTAAGCAGTCCCTCCAATGCTGGCGCCGGTCTCTGATCCAACGCAGATTCCCATTTCTTCCTGTTCCACAGCATCTGTCTGGCGTGCACACTCAGGGCTGCATGCATTGACTCAAGTCTCTCCTCTTCTCCCCCCGCTTTGATCTCCACTGCACATGCGCCCGCACATATCCTGCTGCACGACTAATCGGGAGAAGCTGATTTGCTAGCAGTAGATACACGTAAAAAAAAAAAAAAGGCGATTGCTGCAAGGACAACTACATTGTAGGTGAGATTAGAGGGAATGTCGCCAATGGATTCACATGCTGGTTTCCGAACTGCGCAGAGAGAACCAGATTTAGGACCCAGTGTCAGAGCAAAATGGATGTGGAGAGGTGCACTTGAGACCCCCTCTACAAAAAGGCCTTTATCAAATAGGGAGGGGACAGTGGCCTCCAAAAACAGAATAGAACAATGAACAACATGACAAAAGTCTGTGGGCTTGAAGTTCTGAGACTCACGAAGTATGCCTTCTATGCCCGATGATAGACGTTTGGGAGAAGTAGATGTTCATAGCTTTTAGTATCATAGGACTTGCAGATTCAAATGTGCCCCATTCCCTCAGAACTTGGGCTCAAACAACTAAGCTGTTAAAGCCAGAGGCCACAAAGCCGGATGGGAAATCAGGCTTTGGGACAGAACAATCTGGCAGAGCCCATGGGGCATTTGCAAGGAGTCTTACCAAGTTGATATACCATATCCATCTGAAGTAGATGATCAGAAGAATGCCCTCCCATCCTGATCCTGCAAGACATTTTCAGGAGAGTAAAGCCATAGATTAGTGTTTATGGATTCTATAGAGCCACCAGAGAATCCATTGCTTCTGCTAGAGAATACCAGTGCCTGGGAGGAAAACCTACCCTTTTTTTTTCTTTCACCCTGGAGGTTTAGATCCAGTACCCCCCCCACGACACAGGTCCTGAAACACCCAGACAGGTGGCCCTTTCCCCTCGTCTAAATGTTGCTGACTGAAGAAATCTATCTGCGACTAGTCTATGCCTGGAGTGTACATGGCTGGAACTGACGTGAATCTGTGTGCTGGAGTGCTGATGACATCTGCATTTGCTAGACCCGAGATCAATGACACAAAGCTCCAGCAGTCGTGTATAGAAGCGTCTTCATTGAAGAATAGAAAAAAAAAAAAAGGTGCTAGAAAAAATAAGTTTGTCTAAGACAACAGAGCTTACGGAAAGACACCCATCCTCCTAGGACACTAGCAACAAACGGAGGCATGCTGGTTTCTACCTGGGCTGGCCTACAGATTTTTGTTTGCCAGATGTGGGTGGCGGAATAACCAAAAGGTTAAAGACTTCCCGTGTCCCTCAGTGGAGGAGAAAGAAAAAACCTTTTGAAATGCTTTACCAGTAATGAATGGCCTAACGTAACGCCATTTTAAACTTTTAATAGTGACAGTCCTTCCCAAGAGCAGACAATACACCTACTACTACTTTTATTTGTCAGAATGTACTCTGTGCCAGTCTGATTTACCTTCACATTGGTATTAGAGTCCAACATTCCCTAAATTGATGGTCACACCCCCCCCTTCCCCCTGTCCAATGAGAACCTTTACTGGACATAGAGACACTTCATAGATTAAAAAATGGCATTAGGCAGGCAAGTGGCAGATTCAGGCAGCAGGTGGAACTACAGACTTTTCACAGGTTTACCGGGCCAACTTAATAAAGCAGCTCTGGATTGAACTGAAAAAATGCAATACTGATTAGCAGGACCATTCTGTAAGGTGACCAATGCTGAGGAATTAGCCACGTACAGATCAACATTGCTGTTCAGGCAGAGCTTCTGATTGGCCAACTCTGCCTAAACATAACTCCCCCAAGCCTTTAACAGAAAAAAACATGCAATGACAATGGATAGCTAACCAGCCACCAGCAGGGATCCAGGATTCCAGGTAAGATCTTGCTCTGTACAACATCCGTTCCATCTGGCATGAAACTGTCAACTTGTGCTGGTGTACTATTTAGGCGAATATCCTTTTAAGCAACCAATGTATTCTCACAAATAAAATAAAAAAGACCAACAATTAGAATGTATCTGTTGTTCACCGTACTTTATTGTACAATTTCCTCTATACAAAAGGCTATTTACAAAACACATTTAAGATTTTATAGTACAGTTCTATATGCCACATCTTGCCCTAAGTATAAAAAATATATATATTTGAATTACTTTTAAAATATTCCAGTTCCAGGAAAATGGTTTCCGATAGGCAAAGCAAAGGTTGACACCACCAGCTGGATGGCTTGCAAAGGATCCACAATCTCTCTCATATTATCTTTTCTTAGCACCCAGTCAGGTTTGATTCTGGAAAGAGAAATATGAAATTCAACTTACATGATTAGGATGGTAGATAAATGTAAGCTCCATATTGTGCATACTCCGTATATGTACAGTACTGAAACACTGACATCTGGAGTAGGAAGCGAGGCCCCACCATGTAAGTAGACAGGCGCAGGATTATTCCAGATACTATGCGGCATTATTCCACAAGTTGCTGGGCCACTCAAATGAGGTTTTAAATGGACTGTTCTTTTCTTTGACGTCTCACTCACAACTGCTGTGACATTAAAAACTCTCCAATTTGTTTGCATGACCAAAGCAATTGTTTTATGAAGCCATCAGTTGGAACAAGCGAGGTTTTACAAATTAAAAGTTAGGTGTCAGGCAAACGGCTATGAAAACAAATGAAGATTGTACCAAGGGAATATGACGGCTACCATTGCTCGCCTTCCTTTGTGGACAATGCAAGATGCTTTACCATCATGCTTATTTTTTTCTTTTAGATTTGCATGCTTGTTCCAGATCAGTGACTCAGACAACTAGGAATTAAAGTCAGCAATGGCAGCCTATGAAGTTCTCTCAGTACAGGTTTCCTTAACTTTATTGGGCCAGTGTTGTGACCCAGACACACGTACCAGAGAGCAAAGCCATTGTACATCCTGTTCTCCACTGCAGTAAAGCAAAACAACTTGGGCACACCAACCCAATTGCAGCCTAAACACTGAAGGGGAATCATAACATTGCTGAGGTTATCACTCTGATACTGGGAGCTTGCTGACAGAAGACTAAGAACGGTGTAAAAACTGTGAACCTCACAGTGCTCATCCGCCCTCTTCCAGTCTGAATTACGTTGTGCAGAAGATTAAAAGAAGAACTATGGCCTAATCCTTTTTGGCCATAGTTCTCTTCAGGGTCACAGAAGGAGATATACTAATGTCCTCCGTTGACCAAAAACTCAGTATATAGCAGGGTAATTCCGGCTATATGCTGAGAGTGCAGAGCCGTGCCACAGCCGGGACGGATCCTGACAATACTGTCGAGATCCACCCAGCTGACTGATTGGCAGCTGGCTGTGCCCATCTAGAAGCAGAGGCAGCTGTGACCACCCCCTCCCCTATCTGTTCTGGAGGAAGAGAGAGAGGGGGGATCCCTGCGGGCAGGAGTGACTGACAAGTCATCGCTCTCTGCAGGGAGAGGATCGTGAAGTCAGCAAATCGTCGCCGGTGTGTGTTCGCTGAATTCCCGATCAATAGAGCCGACCTGTGACAGCTTCAATGTCACAGGTCGGCTTGAATTATGGGAATGAGTGTTTTTCACCCACACCATAACCCTCCTTTAAGGAAGACTCATTTTAAGAGTTTTCAGGCAGGTTCTGATGAAAGGGGTTTGACCTCTGAGACGCATCAAACGGAGGAAGACCAGTGTTCAGATGGCTTCGGCTGAAAGCACTTCCATTTTTCCTTTGTCCATTTTGATCTTCCTGAGATCGCCTCATTCAATGCTTGTTTTTAACAGTCGTTTGGAAGTACATTTCCAGCTGTATTAAATCTGTTTTACACTATGGAGGCGCTCCTTCTGCTTTGTTCCTTCTAGATCATCTGTGTGCCCTGTCTGTGAGGAGCTGCCCCAGATTGTTTGAAGCTGGGTTGAGAGTTGTCACGTCTTTTGGCGCCAGTGTTTTTTCCACTTAGTTTGCAGGAGTATACACTGGATTAAATATATTTTACATACAACATATTGTATATTAATATATCACTAGATTATATGATACGTTTTAGCTGCGTCTTGGTCGCAAGAGAACCGACTATTACATACCAACCAACTGATTTTACAAAGTAATGACGAGCAACTTTATCTGACTGTATGCTGTGTGGCCATCCAAAAAGTTTTGATTAGAGAGAGAACTTTCTTTTAGAGCTGTAGCCTGCATGTGGAATTTTCCTAAAGTAGAACAGATGTATATATAATGACAGTACTCTGCACCGGCGTAATAAATCAAAGTTTGTACCTGGATACGATTCTTGTGTGGAATGGTGTGCTCTGTGAAGATGTATTGCCATGAACTCTAGAACTGTTCATGAGCTGTTTGCTGACATTGCGCGCTGCATCCATTTTGTGCTTCCGTGATATCAGGCGGTATATGCCGGAGATCCGATCCATTGCCTTAGGAATAGAGCGAATTTCCTATGGAGAAGAAACACTTAGTTCTAAACTGCCTCAAAACAGCAGAATGAAGATGAATTACTGTAGCAATATAATAACTCAAAAAAGACAAACATTCATTAATACAGCACAGCTGACAACCTACGAACAATTGCTGCTCATTCAGACCTCCGCATTTTTCTTTGTTATGGGGTGTTTTTAATGCGCTTTACACACAGTGCCATTCATCACTATGGAAACAAGTATAACCCCCCAAAAATGAAATAGTATGGATGACAAATATGGCAATTACACATAAAAGCACAATACAGCGTCTGTCTATAGCTGGTACAGTACAGTTTCAAAGAGGAGGATTGTTATACACAAAACAACTTGCGATTGTCACTTATGTCTTATTAGCTTTTCCTAGCCAATTACATTATGTATACTGTATGTATATACTGTATGTATAGCCAAAACGTATTTTTTTTCTCCTTTTCCGGCTAGGGTAGCAAAGGATAAATCCTGTCAGTGTTTTTTTTTTTTTTCTGTGAACCCCATTAGGGAGATTTTCCTTAAACTTCCTGTCCTGAAAATGCAACAGAAAGCAAGTCGAAATCCCCTCTTAGACAGCCATCACCAAACAAAAAAAGTGTCCCCATTGCAGAATTATCCATTAAAAAAAGGAGAACTATGGGGTTTAGGGCTTTTCCCCATAGTTCTCCTAAGGGTAACAGGCGGACACAAACTAGCGTCCTCCCGTCACCCTAGGCTCAGTATACCGCGAGCTAATGCTCGCGGTATACTGAGACGCCGCAGCTGAAGTGGATCCCGACAATTATGTCTGGATCCGCCCAGCTGCGCGAGTGACAGCTGGCTCTGCCTACCTAGAGGCAGACCCAGCTTTACCCGCCCCCTCCCCCATCCGTTCTGCCAGTCAGCGCTGGAAGATCGGGGCGGGGATGGGGGAATCCAGGCCCTCCCCCTGTCACGGCAGAGAGCCGTGACAGAATCGAGAAGTGAGTGAATGCCGGTATGTGTTCGCTCACCTCCCGATCTACTGAGCCGACCTGTGACAGTCTCATTGTCACAGGTCGGCTAGAACTATGAGGTGAGTGAAAAGCACTCACCTCATAGTTCTCCTTTAAGTCTTTTCCTGGTGACAACTACATTTGTGAATTTCCCCTCACTTTCTAGCACTGAATACTGAAAAATGGCCTGGATGGGAAGGGGGTTTAACACCGCGGATGTCAACTGGTTAAACTTGTCCTGATGGCCATTGGCAGAGTACATCTCCCCAGCAGGGATAGACCGCAATAAAAATAAATATACTAATGACAGGGGATCTAACCCTTCCCTACTATACCCCCACCAAAAAAAGTTGGTAATGCATACACTTTAATACGACAAAGAAAGACTGAAAGCATTAGAGAAGCAAGAGACTGAAGAGAAAGCAAGAGATGACAGAACAGTCTTCAGGAGGTGTAGGCAACCACGGCATTCCAGTGAAAATACAGATCCTCGAGGCATTGCAGACTGCCTGTGGTTGTCGGAGGCATGATGAGATTCACGGTCTCACCACACCTGGAGTGCTAAGGTTGCCTACCCCTTGGTCTATAGGAATATCAAAAGACAAGAGTAAACGAGAAAAGGAAGATTCAGGAAATAAATCCCAATGAGGAGGAGAGTTCACACTCACAAGCTGGCCATACACATTATAATTATCCTTCGATTTCTTACATCCCGTCATCGAACCCTTTCCTTCGTTTCCCACTCCTATACCCCATCATGAGCAGACCAATGTGGAATTCCATTATCGATTGTTAGCAATACTAACGGGCCAAATTTTGCTGATCGACAAAGGATTTCCGCTTGCGCATGTGCAGTGTTCATGTTGCGATTTTTTCCATATGAAAACGCCACTAATCCATCCATTCTCGTAGGATTGGAAAAAAGTTTTCCAGCCTGACCGATTGAGGCAATTCGGCCACAAGTACAGTAATTGCCATCATGCACTTCCCATTAACTGGCCAATTATCGTACCAAAATCCGATTGTGTTGGATTTCCGAACGGCAATCGCAAGGTGTATGGGCACCTTAAGATGGAATAGCTAAATCAACTGTCACTTATGTTATTCATTGAAAACAACGACATTTACAGTGACCCGTGCTAATCAAGAATGGCAAAATCCTGAGAAATGGTAATACTAAACAGTCTAATAAAAGATCAGATAAGGCTTTGGCCTTCTTCATGCTCATCAGAGCACAGTTCAGATGCTGCTTATAAATCATGTTCGACATTCACAAACAAATGAAAAAAAATCAGGCACCAGCTAAGAAAACTGTTGCTGGTAAAACTGAAAATACATAACAGAAGTGAGGACACCTACCTGAGCTCTCTGGGAGTCCAGGCCAAAGATGGCCAAGAGACAACAGGTCTTGGTAAATATACTTCCCCCTTTCTCTGGTACTTTGTCTCCAGGCTTTTCTCTGTAGATCTGCATCAAGTCCAGAAGAACTTCAACAGAATCCTCCACCTCATACACAGCAGACACGGTCTTCTCATACTGCAATTCAATACAGAAACAGAGTGTGAGATGTAGATACATGGAAAGGGAAGCCATCAGGAAGAGGTTGTGGAGGATTTATAGCCAGATTTGGTTTTAGATGTAAAAAAAAAGAAAACATGGATGTGTTTGAATACCTTGTCACATGTGAGGGTACTATATAGCAGTGTAGTGGAATGCACCTTTATTCAGATTCAGGTCCCTTTAACTTAACTTCCCACAATCCTCTGGGCTCCCAGCTTCCCCTGAGCTCCTGGACATGCCCATGGGATATAAATGCCAGCTCCTCCCAGCTTTCTGTGCTCAGAGAGACCGTCCCTGATGTGGACAGCAGTGACTGGGCAAGTGAGCTGTCCACAGGTTCTGGGTCCTCCCCTGTTAAGTCTGGTGTGCGGGCCACCAGCAGTGAGCACAGGAGTACGCAGCATCTGTCCAAGCCCCAGTCACTGGAGAGGACTCTGTTACAGTCCATTTGGAGAAGCTGTCCATGCAGTGGGGTGGCCCTATCTACAGCCACCAGAACCTCCTGACAGAAGCCAGCAGCAGCAGTGCCAGTGTGAATGCTGTGCCAGCAGAAGATCCACTCAGCTAACAGTTTGTTGAAGGAACGATTGCTATCTGGGACACTTGAGATTCTGTATCTCCATATTCTCTGATTAAACTGAACTCAGAATACTCTGCCGCCATCTAGTGGCCATTTTCAGAGCTGCCATAGAATCGTTTTCATATGTTCTCCCAAGCCCGTTTCCCTTATTGTTGATATTAATGCTCTGTATTGCAAGCCCGTTTATTTGATTCCCCTGTGCAATCTATGTTGATTTTTATCGTTAAGTAAAGTAGAAATTGCACATCACCACTGGTCTGATCGTTTGGCTGATACCGTTACACAACAGCAGCATTGTGATATGCTGCTCAAGGGGAATGAGCATTGTTGGAGTATTGAGAAGGTGTTGTGTCAGACGAAGGGAGATCTGGACTGCTGCAATCTGTGTGAAAGCAGCGATACGGCACTCCAGTGTGCTCCCAACACAAGAGTTTACTAGTGTTAAGCAATTCTGTCCAGCTTGAAGGGGGAAGAAAAAAACAAACAAAAATAAAAACAAAAAAGCCAAATAGCTGGGATGTAGGGACTTTTGGCAGATAAGACTTGCAAAGTCTCTTCTGCCATGCAAATTGTTCCTTTCCACCCCAGTGATTTTTATTTTGTGTACGCTATAAGGCACGTCTCCAAGATGCCATGAATTGGCCGGGTATCAGGGAGAAAGTACCTCCTATGCACACGTGCAGGACTTACATCTTCGTTGGCCATCTAACAGCCAAAAAGGACTTCCAAGAACCTGACATTATTGCCGGCGCATATGGCGGTGGTGGGCAACAGTGCCAAGGACCAAAGACTGATCTATTAGTGCTGGAGAAAGGTACATGCGTAAGGCAAGTGTGCACCGATGTGTAAATATGCTGAGCATACTTGCACATTAGGGCAAAAACAAAAATTACAACGCGGTTGGCATCCGCTTTTTATATAAATCATATGTATATCTTAATTGCATAAAAATGGTTTGCTACGCCAAGCCTATACACTATACACACACAGAAATATTGTATTGTTACATATTCACGCACTGCACCATGGTTGTCCTTTACTGCTGATGATTCTTAGTGCTACTCTACCACTGCGGTATGACTGAAAACAATGCCTAATCTCTTCCAGTAGAAGGTTATAAATAGTGTATGCAGTATAATAATGACGACACTATGGTATACGTATACAATAAAACTCGAAATGTGTACTCCCTGAATATACATCAGCATGCGTCCTAAAACACAACTCATTTATAAAGAGACGACATAACTATGTACCTTGGTCAGGTTGAGCAGAATCTGTATAGACAGTCTGATCACTTCCATACAGGGGATACTCCTGTTACAGCTACGGATCAGAGTGAAAATGATCTTCACTGCTCCGCTCTGTGCCATGTTCTCACAGCAAAGAGAAGACAGTCTGGTGGCAGCTTCTACAAGAGGAAGAGACACGTATGAGGTGTTTGTGTACTGCAGACCAATTATGAATATGTCAGACAAGGTACATTTATATCCATGTGTTCGCACCAACCGACATCATACAAAGAAATAGACTGGGGAATGCAAAAAGGTCAAAAGAAAAGAAGAGTGTTCTTCACAGAAACATGGAGGCTGCCTTTGCCAACCACTCCTGAAAATACAAGTTGTCTGGCTGTCAAGCTAACTCTTGCTTCAACAGCGAGTCCGTAGACCAGAATGAACATGTCAATCTAAGGGCCCGCTCAGACCTCCCCAGTGCTTTGTGGGAAGATGTATATTAACACATTGCACGCATTAACACCTTGTGGTGCTCTGTGGAAATGAGGTGCATTGTGGGTACTGTGTGCTGTAGGCAGCTTGTGCATTGCATACACATTACAACGATTATCTAACAGGTATTGTGCTGGAAATTGCATCAGAGATGCAACAAATGAGGACTTTTCCAAAAGCACTGCACCACACCTAAATGTGCAGATATGAACACAGCCTAAGAAAAAAAACATCACATACAGGCAGTGGAAGGCAAAATTCAGTTTTCACTACCAAATATGTGATTCCAGCTCTCTTAGGAATGAATCAGCAAGCCATCTACATGTTGACAAGTCATTCATGTCTAGTTGCTGGGTAGTGACGAAAGTCTGCTTTACCAATTTTGGCATATTAACCAGGATGCCATCTAGCTGATGCCATCTACAAAACAGTTGCAATGTATGCATGTATGTATATACACACATAATATTTTAGACTTATGGGGAGGATTGGGTTGGGGCAGGGATGCATATTTACCTTTTACCTATAGAAACTACACTTACGCCTAATTATTCCAAACAAAAACAGAAAAACAGCCGACTGCTTCACATTTTAAAAGCTTAAATCTGGTGAAATGTGTCCTGTATGATCAAGTAGAGGAATATATTCTTACCAAGATGCTTCAGAGCCGCCAGGATGTAGGAGAAGTGCTTGTAGGAAAGCAGATAATTTAAGGCAACCAATGTTCGGTTACATAATTTATCTTCATCTTTGGTCTCCTCGCTTACTTTCCGCAGGCGATTACGCAAGGTTCGCAGTTTTTTGGTATCATGTGCTTTTCTCCATTGGTGGCCTCTCCAGAGAGCCTATGTGACATGAGAAAAAAAAAAAAAAAACACACTATAAAAATGTTGAAAATGTTATAAAATTAGAACACAAAATCTGTTACAAAATCCTTAAAAAGAAACCAGGAATAATTCTACATGACCTCGGGTGGATCATCAGGCATTACTTTTATTATAATGGCTAGTAAATAACCCCGACAAGTGATGATATATTGCATCAGTGGGCCATGTACTAATTAGCCTAAATAAAAAGAAATTTCGCACCTTTGTGAAGGGAGCTTTTAGAAAGGTCATTTATGTAAAGGGGCATGATCAAGAAATTAACAGCCACATAAGAGCTTTGTAAATGGAGTCTATGGTACCTGAACATGCAGGAGTTGACACCCACATATAGTGATAGCTGGTTCATCATTAATGCCGGTGTTAAAGTAACTAAAGTCAAAACTTTTTTTTTCCATAGTTTTGAAAAAAGTAGCAAAATGTTTGAAACCCATTAAGTTATATTGTTGTCCCACGGAGGGGATTTTCCTTCACTTCCTGTTGCAGGGACATAACAGGAAGTCAGTGAGAGAATGTATGAACTGATAGGTGTGATGCTTGGATTTAGTCCAATTTAGATCATGCAAGATTAGTCTTGGTGTCTGAGAACATGGGGGGG